CAGCTGGTACGGGAGTGGACCAATGTTGACCGGCCAGGTGGGCAGCGCTGCTGCGACCTAAAAGCTGGAGCAAGGGGGCGTGGCTGTTCCATCTTGAAAACATGGCCTCTGGGTGGGCAGCTTGCCTCCCTGGCCTCCCCATTCCCAAGTAGTTTGTTTCGTGCCCTAGGGGCCTTGGGGTGGAGCCTGGTAGAGGAGATGCTGCTAGCTTTGCCTTCTGACCCTGTTGTGTTCCCCACAGACAATCAAGAACATGATGGATATTGAGAAAGTGAAGGGCTTCTGCCAGGTGGTGGTAGCCAGCAAGGTGCGTGAGGGGCTGGCCCACCTCATCCAGTCTTGCGGCCTTGGAGGCATGAGGCATAACTCCGTGGTGCTGGGCTGGCCCTACGGCTGGCGACAGAGTGAGGACCCACGTGCCTGGAAGACCTTTATTGGTATGTGAGGGGGCAGGTCCTGGGCTCAGCCACGTGGGTTGGGGCTGGGGGCTAAGTGAGGGCCAAGGCTGGAGGGCTACAGGCAGGCAGTGAGCAGTGCCTCTCCTCCCCAGACACCGTGCGCTGTACTACGGCCGCGCATCTGGCTCTGCTTGTGCCCAAGAATATCGCCTTCTACCCCAGCAACCATGAGCGCTACCTGGAGGGCCACATTGATGTGTGGTGGATTGTGCATGACGGCGGCATGCTCATGCTCTTGCCCTTCCTGCTGCGCCAGCACAAGGTGAACCAGCAGGTTCCAGATAGGAGGGGCTGGGTCCTCGGAGGGGCAAGATGTGACTGAACCACGCACTTGCTCCGTTACCACAGGTTTGGAGGAAGTGCCGGATGCGCATATTCACAGTGGCCCAGATGGATGACAACAGCATCCAGATGAAGAAGGATCTGGCTGTCTTCCTGTACCACCTACGCCTGGAGGCAGAGGTGGAGGTGGTGGAGATGGTGAGCCACCGGCCCCAATGTGGCCCTGATACCCTGCTCCACACAGCCCAGTCCTCATGGTCCACCCTCTCCCCAGCATAACAGTGACATCTCTGCATATACCTATGAGCGGACGCTGATGATGGAGCAGCGGTCCCAGATGCTACGGCAGATGAGGCTGACCAAGACTGAGCGGGAGCGAGAAGTCAGTGGCCTTCTTGGTTGATGGCAGGGGTGGGTGGCAGGGTCAGGCCTTTGGAGACACCATTGGCATTGAGGTGGTGCCATCAGAATGACTCACTCCAGCTTCACCCAAGTCAGTGCCCATTTTCCTGAGGCCAGGTGATGGTGGTGGGCTAGTGAGGCACCCCTTTTCCTGTGGCACTTGAGGCTACCTCCTCTGATTTTCCCCAGGCCCAGCTGGTCAAGGACCGGCACTCAGCCCTGCGGCTGGACAGCCTGTACTCAGACGAGGACGATGAGTCTGCAGCTGGGGCCAACAAGATCCAGATGACATGGACACGGGACAAGTACATGGCAGCTGAGCCCTGGGACACCAGCCACACCCCAGACAACTTCCGGGANCATTGCAGGCATGATCTACAAGTACATTGAGTACCAAGGGTGAGTGAGGGACTGCCACCTGGTTGCGGCAAGTGGGATGGTCTGTATGTTGGGTTCTGGGAGCTGAGCCATGCTTTGCTAGCCACCATAGGTGGTGGGGCTGGGGGGCTGTGACTCAGTCTGGCCCCACTGCATCTCACATAACATGGACAGAATCCCCATGCGACCAGGGGCTCATGGGTTTGTCGTGGCCTCTGCAGGGCTGAGAAGGAGTGGGGTGATGGGATCCGAGGCCTATCCCTGAGTGCCGCCCGCTATGCACTGTTGAGGCTAGAAGAGGGGCCTCCTCACACCAAGAACTGGCGGTGAGTTCCCATGCACATTGGCAAGAGCTGCTCTAGGTTCTCATGGGGCGCTGTGAGAGTGGGAGGGTTGAGAGGTGCTAGCTCCCCCACTCTAGTCCATGTTCCCCATCCTGGGGCTGCCAGGGGCACCCTCCTGCTTGTTGGATCCCTGCTATTCAAACGTGCGGGAGCCTGTGAGCCGAGAAGGGAAGAGGGGCTCCCTGGAAACCTCTGGCCCTGGTCTCAGGCTGCCTCCCCATCCGGCCACCACAGGCCTCAGCTACTGGTGCTGCTGAAGCTCGATGAGGATCTTCACGTGAAGTACCCACGGCTCCTCACTTTCGCCTCCCAGCTTAAGGCCGGCAAGGGCCTGACCATCGTTGGTTCTGTCATCCAGGGCAGCTTCTTGGAGAGCTACGGCGAGACCCAGGCTGCCGAGCAGGTGCCTGCTGAAGTGGGTGGAGAACTGAGCTGGACTAGAGGTGTCTGGGTGCAGCTGGTACGGGAGTGGACCAATGTTGACCGGCCAGGTGGGCAGCGCTGCTGCGACCTAAAAGCTGGAGCAAGGGGGCGTGGCTGTTCCATCTTGAAAACATGGCCTCTGGGTGGGCAGCTTGCCTCCCTGGCCTCCCCATTCCCAAGTAGTTTGTTTTGTGCCCTAGGGGCCTTGGGGTGGAGCCTGGTAGAGGAGATGCTGCTAGCTTTGCCTTCTGACCCTGTTGTGTTCCCCACAGACAATCAAGAACATGATGGATATTGAGAAAGTGAAGGGCTTCTGCCAAGTGGTGGTAGCCAGCAAGGTGCGTGAGGGGCTGGCCCACCTCATCCAGTCTTGCGGCCTTGGAGGCATGAGGCATAACTCCGTGGTGCTGGGCTGGCCCTACGGCTGGCGACAGAGTGAGGACCCACGTGCCTGGAAGACCTTTATTGGTATGTGAGGGGGCAGGTCCTGGGCTCAGCCACGTGGGTTGGGGCTGGGGGCTAAGTGAGGGCCAAGGCTGGAGGGCTACAGGCAGGCAGTGAGCAGTGCCTCTCCTCCCCAGACACCGTGCGCTGTACTACGGCCGCGCATCTGGCTCTGCTTGTGCCCAAGAATATCGCCTTCTACCCCAGCAACCATGAGCGCTACCTGGAGGGCCACATTGATGTGTGGTGGATTGTGCATGACGGCGGCATGCTCATGCTCTTGCCCTTCCTGCTGCGCCAGCACAAGGTGAACCAGCAGGTTCCAGATAGGAGGGGCTGGGTCCTCGGAGGGGCAAGATGTGACTGAACCACGCACTTGCTCCGTTACCACAGGTTTGGAGGAAGTGCCGGATGCGCATATTCACAGTGGCCCAGATGGATGACAACAGCATCCAGATGAAGAAGGATCTGGCTGTCTTCCTGTACCACCTACGCCTGGAGGCAGAGGTGGAGGTGGTGGAGATGGTGAGCCACCGGCCCCAATGTGGCCCTGATACCCTGCTCCACACAGCCCAGTCCTCATGGTCCACCCTCTCCCCAGCATAACAGTGACATCTCTGCATATACCTATGAGCGGACGCTGATGATGGAGCAGCGGTCCCAGATGCTACGGCAGATGAGGCTGACCAAGACTGAGCGGGAGCGAGAAGTCAGTGGCCTTCTTGGTTGATGGCAGGGGTGGGTGGCAGGGTCAGGCCTTTGGAGACACCATTGGCATTGAGGTGGTGCCATCAGAATGACTCACTCCAGCTTCACCCAAGTCAGTGCCCATTTTCCTGAGGCCAGGTGATGGTGGTGGGCTAGTGAGGCACCCCTTTTCCTGTGGCACTTGAGGCTACCTCCTCTGATTTTCCCCAGGCCCAGCTGGTCAAGGACCGGCACTCAGCCCTGCGGCTGGACAGCCTGTACTCAGACGAGGACGATGAGTCTGCAGCTGGGGCCAACAAGATCCAGATGACATGGACACGGGACAAGTACATGGCAGCTGAGCCCTGGGACACCAGCCACACCCCAGACAACTTCCGGGAGCTGGTGCATATTAAGCCGTGAGTGCAGCAAAAATGAACTCAGCCAGACTGGGGTCTGAAGGTGGTGGTGGGATGGGGGCAGACAAGCTCTGGGTGGGCCAGGCATGGGGCCCACAATCAGCTGCATTACCTGCAGGGACCAGTCCAATGTCCGGCGCATGCACACTGCTGTGAAGCTCAATGAAGTCATTGTCACTCGCTCCCACGATGCCCGCCTGGTCCTGTTGAACATGCCTGGCCCTCCCAAGAACAGTGAGGGTGATGAGAACTGTATCCTTTTGTGCAGAGGCAGATAGTGGGGAGGTGGACAGAGTGTGAGGTCAGGCTGGGACCTCCCCTCACCAACTACTCCTGGCGGGTGCTGGGTTACTCCACCTCCGATTGATGGGCTAAACTTCCGTGGGTGGCCCTTGGTCTTGGTGCTGCTTCCTTGACCTGATACTCTACAGACATGGAGTTCCTGGAGGTGCTGACGGAGGGCCTCGAGCGGGTGCTGTTAGTACGTGGCGGTGGCCGTGAAGTCATCACCATCTACTCCTGAGCTCAGTACTGACGTGTGGCCTAGAGTGGAGGTGTCCAGGGTAACAGCCCCCTCTCAGGACACACCTGCCAGCTCTTTGCCTGGCTCTGCCCTGGACCCAGCTTTGCTAAGCTTCTTGGAGACTGGGCCTCGGCCTGGCAATGGAGATGCATCCATGGTCCTGAGGGACCTGGAGAGCTTTGGGGACGTTCCCTTCCAGCACCCCAGGAGGACTGCCCTGGCTGGAGAAGACTGGTGGGGGCTGACAAGGGGTTTGAAGGCAGCCCACCCAGGAGCGCTATTTATTGCATATTTATTGTTCAAATGTCACCATCAGAGAGGAGGGGAAGGGTGACAAGGGAGGGGGCCTGGCCCAGCAGGCCTGCAGAAGACCTGGCTCAAGCCCCTGTAGGCAGAGCCCCCCACCAAGGCAAGCCAAAGGGGACTGGCCAGCTGAGGCCTGCCTTTTTTCAATAAAACATTGTGTACTTCTGGGCCTCCTGCTGCCCCAGCTCTGTTTCCTCTGGCGCCAAGCGAAGAAGGCAGAACTGAACCCAGGCCCAAAGCTGGCTCCTTGGGGCTGTGCCCCTTTCCGGCAATCTCTGGCCACCCCTATTGGCCAGGCTTCCCCTCCCACTGGCCTGGAGCCCCTCCCACCCCTACTGCAGATAAGGCTAGCCCAGGACTGCTTCACTGGGCAATAGCACTAGGGCTGAAATGGGTCGGCCAGCCTCCCCATGGCAGTGGGGGCTGCTGTTGGGGCTGCTGCTCCCCCCTGCCGCCCCCTTCTGGCTCCTCAATGTGCTCTTTCCCCCGCACACCACGCCCAAGGCTGAGCTCAGTAACCACACACCGCCTGTCATCCTCGGTAAGCCCCCACCAGGCCCCTGATGCACTAGGCCAAACCTCGGGGAGCCTGGGCCCCAGGCCCTGGTAGCAGACCCTGCCAAGGCCCTTCTGCCCCTGGATTGGCCCTGACATCTGCTCAGTGTTTGGAGGGGCCAAAGGCTTGTCCTGCCGAGAAATCAACCCCTTCCCCCACCACACTGTTTCTGTGTCTCTGAGTTGTCTACCCCAGGCAGGTGGAGTCGGGGTTGGAGGGTGCCTGAGGGCTTGGCCAGGACATTACAAGTTGTGGCCAGCTGCAGCCACTGGACCCTAGGCCAAGCCCCACCACCCCTTCCTCAGCCCCCACCCCAGGATAGACAAGATGCCCAGCCCAGAAGAGCAGGAAAGGCCCATCAAGGCCTGCCCTCTACTCCTGGGCCCAGCCCCCACTCCCCCATACCTAGTTGTTCTCACCTTGGACTTTGGCAGTAATGGAGAGGCAGGCTGGGTGTTTGCTTTGTGGGGGCAGGGGCAGTGACCTCGGCCCCTGCACCTTCCCTGCCTGAGGGAAGCCTGGGCTTTGGGCTGCTGGGAGATGGGGTGGGGGTGTAATCAGAAAGGGGATTGTGTCTAGTCCTGGGGTTCGGAAGACAAAGGAGGAGGGATGGCCACTGCAGTGTCTGGGGGATGAGATGGGGCTGGGGGCCATGGGAGAAAATCTGAGGAATCCAGAGTGAAGGCTAGTGCCTGCAGTGCCTGGCTGCCTGGGGAGTCAGCTGGAAGCCAAGCTGGATAAACCAGATGTGGTGAACTGGATGTGCTACCGCAAGACAGAGGACTTCTTCACCATCTGGCTGGATCTCAATATGTTCCTACCCCTTGGGGTAGACTGCTGGATCGATAACACCAGGTAGGTGCCATCCCCTCTGCCCCAGCCCCAACTCCCTGCCCCTTGGCTGCTTGCCTGAGTGTCCTACTGCTCCCAGGGTTGTGTACAACCGCAGCTCTGGGCGCGTGTCCAACGCCCCCGGTGTACAGATCCGTGTCCCCGGCTTTGGCAAGACCTACTCTGTTGAGTATCTGGACAGCAACAAGCTGGCAGGTGTGTGTACCGGGAGACAGGGCAGGGCTCCAGGCTGTGGGGAGCCCACAGGAGACATGGCCAGAGCCTCCAATGCTGCTACCTCCTCACCAGGTTACATGCACACACTGGTGCAGAATCTGGTCAACAATGGGTATGTGCGGGATGAGACAGTGCGGGCTGCCCCCTACGACTGGCGGCTGGAGCCCAGTGAGTGTTTCTGTGGATAACGGGTTCAGGAAGGGGTAGGTGGTCTCTGATCCCAACTGCCCTGACACCACACGCCCCACTGCAGCCCAACAGGAGGAGTACTACCGGAAGCTTGCTGGGCTGGTGGAGGAGATGCATGCTGCTTACGGGAAGCCCGTCTTCCTCATTGGGCACAGCCTTGGGTGCCTGCACTTGCTATATTTCTTGCTACGCCAGCCCCAGGCCTGGAAGGACCGCTTCATTGATGGTTTCATTTCTCTTGGCGCTCCCTGGGGTGGCTCCATCAAGGCCATGCTGGTCTTGGCCTCAGGTGAGAGTGCCTCTGATCACCTGTGTCATGTGGGGGTTTGCAGGGGTGGAATGAAGCTGACCATGGATCTGCCTTCACTTCCACTTCTGCTTACAATACCATCCTGGGCGTGTTGTTTACCATCCGTGGGGCATAGCCTCTCTCACTGGCCCCCTGAGAGCAGTGAGCCATTAGAGTGACTCCTGCCAGTCTGTCTCAGGGATGGCAGAGAGGAAGAAAGTAGAGGAAGCAAGTGAGCCCCCACAATCTGACTCATTGCCCTAGGTCTGTTCCTTGTGGCCTCAGGTGCTGCCGCCCAGCTTGCAGGGTGGCTCTGCTTCCAGGAGCCCCTCTGTCCAGGGCAGAGGCGATGGGTCGGCCAAAGCTCAGGTCAGACCCTAGGAGCCCCACCTTTTGAGCAGCCGCCAGCACTGTCCTCCTTCCATACACGCACACCCATCCCCAGAGAACCTCTTCCTGCCCTCCTTTTGAGCCCTTACAGCTCTGCGTCACAAAGGTGCCATTGGGACTTCTCATTTAATAAGCACACATTGAGCACCTACTAAAATCTAGGCCTTCTCTAGTCTGTGGCTTGTAGTCAGTGTTTGGATTGGGCAGTGATAAGATTGAGCCTCCTGCTGAACTCAGCCTGGGGGTCAAGTTGTGGGCCAGGGGTAACCAGGCCCAGCTCCCTGCCCCACCTTGTTCCATGTCCACAGGTGACAACCAGGGTATCCCGATCATGTCCAGCATCAAGCTGAAAGAGGAACAGCGCATGACAACAACCTCTCCCTGGATGCTTCCCTCCAGCCAAGCATGGCCTGAGGGCCACGTGTTCATTTCCACACCCAGCTTCAACTACACGGGCCATGACTTTCAGCGCTTCTTTGCAGACCTGCACTTTGAAGAAGGCTGGTACATGTGGCTACAGTCACGTGACCTGCTGGCAGGCCTCCCCGCACCTGGTGTGGAAGTATACTGTCTGTATGGTGTGGGCCTACCCACGCCCCGCACCTACATATTTGACCATGGCTTCCCCTACACGGACCCTGTGGGTGTGCTCTATGAGGATGGTGATGACACTGTGGCCACACGCAGCTCTGAGCTCTGTGCCCTCTGGCAGAGCCACCAACCACAGCCTGTACATCTGCTGCCTCTGCATGGGACACAGCACCTCAACATGGTCTTCAGCAACCAGACACTGGAGCATATCAATGCCATCCTGCTGGGTACCTACCGTCGAAGCAACCCTGCGCCCCCAGCTGGCAGTCCAGGGCCCCTGTCCCCTGAATAAAGACATTCCTTTGCTCTGTAAGCCCTCACATGTACTGTGAGTTGAGGGGGAGGCACTAGGGTCCACATACCAGGATTTACTTATTAGCAGCCCCAGGCCTCATACTTTGGAGCACAGAGCGAGATGGGCTTTGCTGAAGCTTGGGATAGAACTGGGCATCCTGAGATGTAAAGCTTCCCACTCTCCTGGTTGAGCTGTTTAGACAGCTTGCCTTGTGCCTGACTCTGCTTGGCAGGTGGGGACTGGAGGTAGCTGTACACACAGCTGTGGAATGGGGACACATGGTGCCAAGGATGTGGGGCAAGGAAGATCTGAGCCATCCTCCCAGATCCCAGAAAGGCAGGAGGGACCCCACCTCTAGACTGGGCTTTTTGAGTGCTAGGTGGGTAACAGAAACATATTAAAGTCTGGATGAGTGTGACAAGACACTAAAATCAGATCATTTCACTGAGGGTTTAATTACTAATACAGCTAAGTAGTCTGAGAGAAAAGTTTAGGGAGCAGCAAGATGCTGAGCCTTGTGGGTCAGGGAAGTCTTCCCAGAAGAGGTGGGATCAGAAGGGATGAGAAGGGTAACATGGTCCACTGTAAAGACTTGTGTTTGAGCCTAAGAGCAGCTGTTCCTGGAGGGTTTAACCATGGAAGAGTGTAACCAGATTTCCAATCTAGAAATACCCCCTCTCTAAAGGTTAGAGTATAACTTGCAGGCGGGGTGCAGGAAGTATAGGGAAGCCTGGGGGATCAGAGCAGTATTCAGGGGGAAAAGTTTCTGGCTGAGATGAAAGCAGTAGTTGGAAGAAGGATGTGGATAGATTTAGGGTGATTTGGGATGTGAAAGGCTTGGCCACTAGATGGACAGCCATCGTGCCCCTCATGTGAGAGAAAAGACGGAACCTGAGATGGGGGAGGTGAAAGGACCACTGTGGCCTAGGATTGAGCCTTAGTGTTTGAAGTTTCAGGGAGGAAACCAAGGAGAGGCAGGAGTTGGCTAGACAGAGACAGGACAAAAGGCAGGCCATGCCTGATGCTGTTGAGAGGCCAGTAGCAATGTAAAGACCTGGCCAATGTGACAGTCTTGGGGCTGAGAGACTTGAGGTTAGAGTTGGACTTAGGGCAGGCTGGAAGGGTAGGAGGTGCTGAACAACGGCCAGAGGGAGGGATTTCAGAGCGGGGAGCACCATGAAAAGCCAGGCAAGGGACATCTCCCCCTTTCCTGAGCTGTGCTGTGTAGGGCCACAGGTGAACGTGAAAGTGAAAGAGGAGATGGGGAAAGGGGCCCAGTAGCTCTGAGGAAAGGTGAAAGCGAAAGCAGGAAGCATCAGATGTAGAGCCCTTGGGGAGGATAAGGCTGTGGCCTTCCTTGCTCTGCCCTGGTCCTACTCGTGTGACCATCGACCCCCAAACCCAGGACCGCGCTACCTACCCCGAGATGCTGAGGCCAATGCTAGGGCCCCAAGGGGGCTTCTGTTTCGAGAACTGCCAGAGGTGAGGCGGGGTAAGTTTGGCCCTAGCTACCTGTGCCTGCTGTGTGGGCTTCCAGGAGTGGGGGAGCTCCAGGGCCTTTAATCCTGGTGTGGACAAGGGGGCTGGGGGCATGTGTTGGGAGACTTGGGTTCCAAGGCTTACCCTTGGCGTTGAGGGAGACCCGGACGGAATCGGGAGATGTGACGGGGCTCACAGAAAAAGCAAAACCCGGCATATCCCCTCCGTTTCCAGAAATGCATCCTTGGAATGTGTCCTCCCAGGGCACGGGGTCCCTCATGCGCGCAAGACCGGGACCACCATCGCGGGCCTTGTTTTCCGGGTGAGCAGGGGGTTGGGACTGGGGGCTTAGAGGGGCGGCCGGGGGGAAGGGGTGGGCACTGAGCCAGCTCTGCCTCCGCAGGATGGGGTTATCCTGGGTGCGGATACACGGGCCACTAACAATTCGGTCGTCGCGGACAAGAGCTGCGAGAAGATCCACTTCATTGCCCCGAAAATCTAGTGAGAATTCCCCAGCCACGTTCCCTCAAACCAGAACCGCTCGTTTGTTCCCATCCCTAGTCCCCGCCCATCGCAGCCCCGTCCACCAACCCTCCCTTCGTCCTCAGCTGCTGTGGAGCTGGCGTAGCCGCGGACGCCGAGATGACCACGCGGATGGCGGCGTCCAACATGGAGCTACACGCGTTGTCCACCGGCCGCGAACCCCGGGTGGCCACGGTCACCCGCGTTCAAGGACATTACAAGTTGTGGCCAGCTGCAGCCACTGGACCCTAGGCCAAGCCCCACCACCCCTTCCTCAGCCCCCACCCCAGGATAGACAAGATGCCCAGCCCAGAAGAGCAGGAAAGGCCCATCAAGGCCTGCCCTCTACTCCTGGGCCTAGCCCCCACTCCCCCATACCTAGTTGTTCTCACCTTGGACTTTGGCAGTAATGGAGAGGCAGGCTGGGTGTTTGCTTTGTGGGGGCAGGGGCAGTGACCTCGGCCCCTGCACCTTCCCTGCCTGAGGGAAGCCTGGGCTTTGGGCTGCTGGGAGATGGGGTGGGGGTGTAATCAGAAAGGGGATTGTGTCTAGTCCTGGGGTTCGGAAGACAAAGGAGGAGGGATGGCCACTGCAGTGTCTGGGGGATGAGATGGGGCTGGGGGCCATGGGAGAAAATCTGAGGAATCCAGAGTGAAGGCTAGTGCCTGCAGTGCCTGGCTGCCTGGGGAGTCAGCTGGAAGCCAAGCTGGATAAACCAGATGTGGTGAACTGGATGTGCTACCGCAAGACAGAGGACTTCTTCACCATCTGGCTGGATCTCAATATGTTCCTACCCCTTGGGGTAGACTGCTGGATCGATAACACCAGGTAGGTGCCATCCCCTCTGCCCCAGCCCCAACTCCCTGCCCCTTGGCTGCTTGCCTGAGTGTCCTACTGCTCCCAGGGTTGTGTACAACCGCAGCTCTGGGCGCGTGTCCAACGCCCCCGGTGTACAGATCCGTGTCCCCGGCTTTGGCAAGACCTACTCTGTTGAGTATCTGGACAGCAACAAGCTGGCAGGTGTGTGTACCGGGAGACAGGGCAGGGCTCCAGGCTGTGGGGAGCCCACAGGAGACATGGCCAGAGCCTCCAATGCTGCTACCTCCTCACCAGGTTACATGCACACACTGGTGCAGAATCTGGTCAACAATGGGTATGTGCGGGATGAGACAGTGCGGGCTGCCCCCTACGACTGGCGGCTGGAGCCCAGTGAGTGTTTCTGTGGATAACGGGTTCAGGAAGGGGTAGGTGGTCTCTGATCCCAACTGCCCTGACACCACACGCCCCACTGCAGCCCAACAGGAGGAGTACTACCGGAAGCTTGCTGGGCTGGTGGAGGAGATGCATGCTGCTTACGGGAAGCCCGTCTTCCTCATTGGGCACAGCCTTGGGTGCCTGCACTTGCTATATTTCTTGCTACGCCAGCCCCAGGCCTGGAAGGACCGCTTCATTGATGGTTTCATTTCTCTTGGCGCTCCCTGGGGTGGCTCCATCAAGGCCATGCTGGTCTTGGCCTCAGGTGAGAGTGCCTCTGATCACCTGTGTCATGTGGGGGTTTGCAGGGGTGGAATGAAGCTGACCATGGATCTGCCTTCACTTCCACTTCTGCTTACAATACCATCCTGGGCGTGTTGTTTACCATCCGTGGGGCATAGCCTCTCTCACTGGCCCCCTGAGAGCAGTGAGCCATTAGAGTGACTCCTGCCAGTCTGTCTCAGGGATGGCAGAGAGGAAGAAAGTAGAGGAAGCAAGTGAGCCCCCACAATCTGACTCATTGCCCTAGGTCTGTTCCTTGTGGCCTCAGGTGCTGCCGCCCAGCTTGCAGGGTGGCTCTGCTTCCAGGAGCCCCTCTGTCCAGGGCAGAGGCGATGGGTCGGCCAAAGCTCAGGTCAGACCCTAGGAGCCCCACCTTTTGAGCAGCCGCCAGCACTGTCCTCCTTCCATACACGCACACCCATCCCCAGAGAACCTCTTCCTGCCCTCCTTTTGAGCCCTTACAGCTCTGCGTCACAAAGGTGCCATTGGGACTTCTCATTTAATAAGCACACATTGAGCACCTACTAAAATCTAGGCCTTCTCTAGTCTGTGGCTTGTAGTCAGTGTTTGGATTGGGCAGTGATAAGATTGAGCCTCCTGCTGAACTCAGCCTGGGGGTCAAGTTGTGGGCCAGGGGTAACCAGGCCCAGCTCCCTGCCCCACCTTGTTCCATGTCCACAGGTGACAACCAGGGTATCCCGATCATGTCCAGCATCAAGCTGAAAGAGGAACAGCGCATGACAACAACCTCTCCCTGGATGCTTCCCTCCAGCCAAGCATGGCCTGAGGGCCACGTGTTCATTTCCACACCCAGCTTCAACTACACGGGCCATGACTTTCAGCGCTTCTTTGCAGACCTGCACTTTGAAGAAGGCTGGTACATGTGGCTACAGTCACGTGACCTGCTGGCAGGCCTCCCCGCACCTGGTGTGGAAGTATACTGTCTGTATGGTGTGGGCCTACCCACGCCCCGCACCTACATATTTGACCATGGCTTCCCCTACACGGACCCTGTGGGTGTGCTCTATGAGGATGGTGATGACACTGTGGCCACACGCAGCTCTGAGCTCTGTGCCCTCTGGCAGAGCCACCAACCACAGCCTGTACATCTGCTGCCTCTGCATGGGACACAGCACCTCAACATGGTCTTCAGCAACCAGACACTGGAGCATATCAATGCCATCCTGCTGGGTACCTACCGTCGAAGCAACCCTGCGCCCCCAGCTGGCAGTCCAGGGCCCCTGTCCCCTGAATAAAGACATTCCTTTGCTCTGTAAGCCCTCACATGTACTGTGAGTTGAGGGGGAGGCACTAGGGTCCACATACCAGGATTTACTTATTAGCAGCCCCAGGCCTCATACTTTGGAGCACAGAGCGAGATGGGCTTTGCTGAAGCTTGGGATAGAACTGGGCATCCTGAGATGTAAAGCTTCCCACTCTCCTGGTTGAGCTGTTTAGACAGCTTGCCTTGTGCCTGACTCTGCTTGGCAGGTGGGGACTGGAGGTAGCTGTACACACAGCTGTGGAATGGGGACACATGGTGCCAAGGATGTGGGGCAAGGAAGATCTGAGCCATCCTCCCAGATCCCAGAAAGGCAGGAGGGACCCCACCTCTAGACTGGGCTTTTTGAGTGCTAGGTGGGTAACAGAAACATATTAAAGTCTGGATGAGTGTGACAAGACACTAAAATCAGATCATTTCACTGAGGGTTTAATTACTAATACAGCTAAGTAGTCTGAGAGAAAAGTTTAGGGAGCAGCAAGATGCTGAGCCTTGTGGGTCAGGGAAGTCTTCCCAGAAGAGGTGGGATCAGAAGGGATGAGAAGGGTAACATGGTCCACTGTAAAGACTTGTGTTTGAGCCTAAGAGCAGCTGTTCCTGGAGGGTTTAACCATGGAAGAGTGTAACCAGATTTCCAATCTAGAAATACCCCCTCTCTAAAGGTTAGAGTATAACTTGCAGGCGGGGTGCAGGAAGTATAGGGAAGCCTGGGGGATCAGAGCAGTATTCAGGGGGAAAAGTTTCTGGCTGAGATGAAAGCAGTAGTTGGAAGAAGGATGTGGATAGATTTAGGGTGATTTGGGATGTGAAAGGCTTGGCCACTAGATGGACAGCCATCGTGCCCCTCATGTGAGAGAAAAGACGGAACCTGAGATGGGGGAGGTGAAAGGACCACTGTGGCCTAGGATTGAGCCTTAGTGTTTGAAGTTTCAGGGAGGAAACCAAGGAGAGGCAGGAGTTGGCTAGACAGAGACAGGACAAAAGGCAGGCCATGCCTGATGCTGTTGAGAGGCCAGTAGCAATGTAAAGACCTGGCCAATGTGACAGTCTTGGGGCTGAGAGACTTGAGGTTAGAGTTGGACTTAGGGCAGGCTGGAAGGGTAGGAGGTGCTGAACAACGGCCAGAGGGAGGGATTTCAGAGCGGGGAGCACCATGAAAAGCCAGGCAAGGGACATCTCCCCCTTTCCTGAGCTGTGCTGTGTAGGGCCACAGGTGAACGTGAAAGTGAAAGAGGAGATGGGGAAAGGGGCCCAGTAGCTCTGAGGAAAGGTGAAAGCGAAAGCAGGAAGCATCAGATGTAGAGCCCTTGGGGAGGATAAGGCTGTGGCCTTCCTTGCTCTGCCCTGGTCCTACTCGTGTGACCATCGACCCCCAAACCCAGGACCGCGCTACCTACCCCGAGATGCTGAGGCCAATGCTAGGGCCCCAAGGGGGCTTCTGTTTCGAGAACTGCCAGAGGTGAGGCGGGGTAAGTTTGGCCCTAGCTACCTGTGCCTGCTGTGTGGGCTTCCAGGAGTGGGGGAGCTCCAGGGCCTTTAATCCTGGTGTGGACAAGGGGGCTGGGGGCATGTGTTGGGAGACTTGGGTTCCAAGGCTTACCCTTGGCGTTGAGGGAGACCCGGACGGAATCGGGAGATGTGACGGGGCTCACAGAAAAAGCAAAACCCGGCATATCCCCTCCGTTTCCAGAAATGCATCCTTGGAATGTGTCCTCCCAGGGCACGGGGTCCCTCATGCGCGCAAGACCGGGACCACCATCGCGGGCCTTGTTTTCCGGGTGAGCAGGGGGTTGGGACTGGGGGCTTAGAGGGGCGGCCGGGGGGAAGGGGTGGGCACTGAGCCAGCTCTGCCTCCGCAGGATGGGGTTATCCTGGGTGCGGATACACGGGCCACTAACGATTCGGTCGTCGCGGACAAGAGCTGCGAGAAGATCCACTTCATTGCCCCGAAAATCTAGTGAGAATTCCCCAGCCACGTTCCCTCAAACCAGAACCGCTCGTTTGTTCCCATCCCTAGTCCCCGCCCATCGCAGCCCCGTCCACCAACCCTCCCTTCGTCCTCAGCTGCTGTGGAGCTGGCGTAGCCGCGGACGCCGAGATGACCACGCGGATGGCGGCGTCCAACATGGAGCTACACGCGTTGTCCACCGGCCGCGAACCCCGGGTGGCCACGGTCACCCGCGTTCTGCGCCAGATGCTCTTCCGGTGCTGGGGCGGGGTTGATGACCCTGGAGGGGGCAGTTGCAGGGAGGCGGAGCTGAAGGGACGTGGGACAACAGAAAGGGCAGGGCCTCGGTAAGCCGGAAGAGGCCGGCCTAAGAGGAGCTGGGCAACAGGAGGAACGAAGTCAGAGGTGTGGTGCCAGACCACAGGAAGGGGCGGGCCTCGGATCCAGGGACAGTGTGACGGAGGGGCGGGACCCGGACCCTGGTGCCAGAGGCTGACCACAACCACTCCGCGAAAAGGTACCGGGGCTACGTGGGAGCATCTCTAATCGTGGGCGGCGTAGACTTGACAGGACCGCAGCTCTACAGCGTGCACCCCCACGGCTCTTACAGCCGTCTGCCCTTCACCGCCCTGGGTGAGCAGTTCTGCCCCTTCCCCACGAACCTCACACTTGTCCCGCGACGGGGCGGCTGCAACTGACCTCAGATGCCCCTTCTGCCTGCAGGCTCCGGCCAGGATGCGGCCCTGGCGGTGCTGGAGGACCGGTTCCAGCCAAACATGACGGTGAGCGACACTTGCCCCCTACTACGTGTGCATTGGTGGGAAGTGCCCAGGGGGAGCTAGGAGATCACAGAGGTACCTTGGCCCAGTCTGGAGACCCAGAAGGCTTCTTGGAGGAGGTGACGACTGAATGGGGACTGAGGGGCCAGTAGAGTGAGGATGGAGAAGTGCTATTTCAAAAGACCAGTCAGTCCAAAAAAACTTGGGACTGCTGGCAGAAGTTAAAAAAAAAACAGGATCCTTTGGAGCTGAGTAGAGTATCAGGTGGGGTCTTGAGCCTGGATTTTGTTCTGGGGTGGGATGGAAGCAGATGACGTTTCATTGCAAAGGTGCCTAAGGCCCAGAAAGAAAAAGCCAATGAGGGAGTGTACACTGGGGTACCAAGACCACATTGGGTGAGTGGGCAGGACACTGGAAGCAGAGCCAAGAGTGTGACTGAGAAGTTTGTGAAGATAAGGGTAGTGGGAACACAGTCTCTGGAGAGAGGCAGAGACTAGGGGAGGGGATCTTGAGGAGATGAGGTTGTAGGAAGAGAGGAGTTTTGGTGTGAGCAAATGTTAAGTAGTCTGGGCTTCAAGATTAACAAAGTCCCCAGGCTATAGCCTGAGGATGATACCAGAGGGTCCATCAGGCCTCACAATCATACATTATCACAGCTGGAAGTGGCGCAGAGGTTGCTGGTGGAAGCCATCACTGCAGGGATCCTGGGTGACCTGGGCTCTGGGGGCAGTGTGGATGCATGTGTGATCATGGGGACCGGCGCCAAGCTGCTGCGAACACTGAGCTCACCCACAAAGCCCATAGACAGGTGGGAGCATGGGAGATGGGGGACCCCAGGGGAGGATGGGGCAGTAGCAGGGGAGATGGGGGGATGCTGCGAGAAGAGGATGAGCCACAGGATGGGTTTATGTTGAGAGGCCATCCCTCTTCTCTCCCAGGCCCAGCCAGTGCCACATTGCCCCTGGAAGCACAGCTGTCCTCTCCCAAACAGTGATACCGCTGACTGTGGAACTGCTGGAGGAAACTGTGCAGGCCATGGAGGTGGAGTAATGTAGACTGAGGCTTAGAGCTTGGGACAAGGGGGAATAAATGCAGAAAATAACAAACACCTAAACAGATGACTGTGTTGTTCTTGTGTGGAGGGGCAAGCAGCCATCAGGGCTCTTGGCTAAGGTTTCTGTGCACAGTCCACTCCCTCCCATGACTCCAGGGCCTAAGAAGTGCCTTTCACCCATCACCTTAGGCATCTACCCTTCCAGAACCCCAGCCCTGGCAATCACTTCAGGCTCAAGGTGGTAAGCCCCCTCCTGGCTCTCCACACCATAGAGGCTCCTCCTGCCACTCCCATGCCTTGCTCTTGCCCTACAGCCCACTGGGGACCTGTTGTGAACACCCAAAAGGCCCCATTAACTGCCCTCACCTAAAGGCTTTTCCTGGCTCATCAGTGGCGCAGGAATAAGCCTCCCATGGACCCCATTGAGAGCTAAAGTGCTAATAGAAGGGGCTGCTCCCTGACTCCAAGGCCAAGTTCTCATAGAACACTCCTCACCCCTGCAACACCCTTACCTGTGAAACACTTCTGATGACCGGGCACACAAAGTTGGGCCTCTGTTTGCACATGCTGGACTGTGAACACGGGGGCTGACTCCAAGTTTTTTGCACTGACAGGGGTCACAGGGCTCATGTGGAGAAAAATGACATTTATCCAGCAAACCTTTAGTGGGCACCCACAAGTGCCAGGTGCAGGTAGTGGGTGCTGGAAGGAGCATCCTGCCCTCAGAGAGAATAGCTGAGCTCTAGTGGAGCTTGGGAACTGCTGGAGTCTGCCCAGCCCCGGGGAATGGGCTACTCCAGGCTGGACATCCCTGGGCTCCTGATTGTTCTCCCCTGCCCCCAGTTTTTTATGATGGAAGATTTTTAAACATAAAAGATGAAGGAACTGTACATTGAACACCTGTATACCCACCACGGACTTCACAACTAGTATTTTATTTGCTTTATCACAAATTTGTCTATCCATCCATCTCTCTCTTCAACCATTAACTCGTTATTTTTTTGACTGATGTATTCTCCAATCAGTTGAAGCCCTCACACCCCTAGGAGGCAGCCAGCCAACTTACTGCAACTTTGCATACAGGGTTGGTCTTCTCTCCCTCAGTGCAGCTTCAGCCTGGGGCTCTACAACAACTGTGCTGTAGACACCAGGGGCTTGTCCACAAGAGCCCTAGGGACCAAAGGCTTTTGAGAGATTTGATGGCTGTCACCTTTCCACCCCGAATTCCATCAAAGGTCAGCCAGTCATCTTGCCATCTTGTGTGCTGGGCCCCTCTGAGGTATCACCATTGAGAGTGTAGGCTTTGGAGCCAAACAGATAAAGGTTTAGATCTCCCAAGGGCACCATATGCTGGGAGAATCACCATCTCTGAGCAAACTGTGACTCCTATTCCAAGTTGATAAGGAATCACTGAGATGATATGTTAGAATTCACAACATTCCAGAGCCCCTGTCCTGGCCACATACCCTGGCCCTCCACAACAGGGCTGGTACAGCTGGGCATTCCCTCCACAGTCAGCAACACCCCTGAGTGCTGAGCAGGCTTCTCTGAGTCTGATGCCCCTCGTAGTCCTGGGAGACTTCCCTGATCCCAGACACGAGGTGGTCACCATAGACCTGATTTAATCATAAGGCTTCCATACTCTACACTTGGGATGTGAGGTGGTTCAGAGAGCCAATCAGAGGCCAAGCTTTGAGGGGCAGAGGAGGTGAGAGCCTCACACCTGGGCTCTGTCTGATAAGTCCAGGCCTAGGTTGAGGACTTTGGCCCAGAGACCTTCTTTCTGACTAGAGCGTGGGAGGGGGCTGAGCTCACACAGCTGCCCTGGCCTCAGACACAGGACTTTAGCCCAAGGACAAGGAGACCCATAAAGCCAGACCCAGTTCTCAGCCTCACGGCTGCTACAATGCTGCTGCTCAGCCTGACTCTTAGCCTGGTCCTCCTTGGCTCCTCTCGGGGTGAGTGGGCCTGGACAAGCCCTGGTTGAATAGCCCTGAGGCAACTTGGCTCCCAGCACCAGCCAGGCTTCCTGCCCAGGGATTCAGAGAAAGGGCCAGGCTGGCTGGAAGGGAAAGAGATGTACAGAATGGGCAAAGGAAAAAGAATATGCCAGGGCTGGAAGAGGACAAGAGGTGGGCAGGGGCTGGTCTCACAAAGGGACAGAAGCTTGGATCAGACCTGGGAGCCAGGGAGGGTTTAGGAAGCTAAGAAGCCGAAGGTTGGACGTGCAGTTCAGGAAGAGCCCGCTGGATGCACGAAGGGTTTGGACTGCTGAGGCCTAGAGAGGGCGGAGAGGCCAGGGAAGAGACTATCCCAGGGTCAGGAAGAACAGTGGCCTGAGCCGGAGGGTGATGGGTAAGTTGGAGAGAAATGCAAGAGAATGGATAGAACTTCCATTCTATCTATTCTGGTTGGATGGGGGTAGCCTCGGTAGCTATGGAGGCCCAGAGGGGCTCAGGGTGAGAGGGAGTAGGATGAGCCCTCTCAATCTGGACCCCCTGGGAGGCAGAGCCCAGGGGTACCCAAGAGGAGGTGGGGAAAAGATGTGGGAAGCAGGTCCTCACCAGCCCACTTGCCAGGCTGTGGTGTTCCTGCCATCAAACCAGCGATGAGCTTCAGCCAGAGGATTGTCAATGGGGAGAACACAGTGCCAGGCTCCTGGCCCTGGCAGGTATCCCTGCAGGTACATGCACCTGGGGGTGGGACATGGTCCAAGGTGCTTCATATCTAAGCATAGCCTGAGTCAACCCTGACTTCTGACCCCTGGCCCCAGGACAGCAACGGCTTCCACTTCTGTGGTGGTTCCCTCATCAGTCAGTCCTGGGTGGTCACAGCTGCCCACTGCAATGTCGTGTGAGTGCTTCCATTCTATCTGCCCCGTCCCAGCCCACCTCTCCCTACCTCCTTCCTCTGGATGCCCCTCTCTTGTCGTGTGCCCTCCCTGAGGCTGCCCAACCCCACTCTTACTGCAGCCCTGGCCGCCACTTTGTTGTCCTGGGCGAGTATGACCAATCATCCAGTGCTGAGCCTTTGCAGGTTCTGTCCATCTCGAGGGTGAGTGCCTGGCTGCACACATGGGAAGGGAGAGGGAACAGTGCAGGTGGTGAGCTCTGGGGATGAGGAAATCTGGGCATGCCCTGGTGTGGCCCCCTCAGCATCCATCAACCCTGGGGGCCTATGCCCACCAGCACCCTACAGGGTCCCTTCCTGGCTCCACAGGCCATCACACACCCTTACTGGAACCCCACTACCATGAACAATGACCTGACACTACTGAAGCTAGCCTCACCAGCCCAGTACACACCATGCATCTCACCAGTGTGCCTGGCTTCCCCAGATGAGGTGCTGCCTATAGGTCTCACGTGTGTCACCACCGGCTGGGGCCGCCTGAGTGGCATGGGTAGGAACTTGGACCAATGATCCTGGTGGGAGGGCTAGGGTGAGTACAAATCATCCAGGGCCTAATCACCCCACTTCTGGCCCACAGGCAATGTGACCCCAGCACGCCTACAGCAGGTGGCTCTGCCCCTGGTCACTGTAAGTCAGTGCAAGCAATATTGGGGCTCAAGTATCACCGACTCCATGATCTGTGCAGGTGGCTCAGGGGCTTCCTCGTGCCAGGTGAGCAATGGCACCGTCCTGTCCCCTGCACTGTCCTGTGGCACCCCTTAAACCTCCACTCTGACCTCTCCCCTCTTCTTCCCTTAGGGTGACTCTGGAGGCCCTCTCGTCTGCCAGAAGGGAAATGTGTGGGTGCTAATTGGCATCGTCTCCTGGGGCACTAGCAACTGCAATGTGTACGCACCTGCCATGTATACTCGGGTCAGCAAGTTCAGCACCTGGATCACCCAGGTCACCGCCTACAACTGAGCCTACCACAGGTCCTCTCCCCATTTCAATGCAATAAAGACCCCAGGCTCTTGTCCTTGTGTATTCTTTTTTTTTTTTTTTCCTGCGTTAAGGCTTTCTGTAGAATGGTGTTCTCCAGATGTCCTTTTGTATTCTTAACTGTCCTCCTGACTCAGGGGAAAGCTCTTGGGTCCCACTCCTTATTTGGACTTTTTCTCCGGGCATAGTAGGTACTGAGGCATCAGGATATTCCTTAGAGTGGCCATGCCCAGGCTGCCCCAACCCTTGCCATCCCTCCTCCTTCTAGGCAATCCCCTTGGTCCACAGCAAGGAGCCTGGACTGTCAGAATGAATAGGCAGCCTTCCTTGAGGAGGGCAGCCTCTTTATTGAATACAGAGGATACATATACAAACTGAGTACACAAAATAAATAACTGAACATTCTCCACCCATGGTCCATGGGCACAAAGGCCCAGGTGGGCCCATCAAAGGCCCAAGTCTTCAAACTCTTCTGTCTACCCTCAGGACCAGGCCTATGCTGGGCTTCAGGCCCCCAGAGGTGCTTGGGAAGTGGGCTATGGGGCTTAGGCTCTCCACTGCCTTGGGCCAGGGGCACTGGGGATGGAAGGAAGGCATGTATAAGGCACAGCCGACTTGGCCCAGAGTGGTCTCTTTGGCTTGGTTTCGCACCGGGAGTGGCACACGCAGAAAGATAAAGGCCTGGCCCAAGGCTACCCACTAGGAGGAGCTGAGTGAGGGCCAAACCCTCCCTGCTGAGGGGCCCTGCAGTCTAGCTAAGGCTAAACCTGGGCCTAGCTCCTTCCCAGCCACTGAAAGCAGCTGTGGAGGGAGGGGGCTTGGGTTCCAGCTTAGTTTGTGTTTTCGGGGAGGCACCATGACTCTCATGGGGATGGTCTGGCTCAGGCCTCTAGGAAAGCAGCCATTGAATCCCACCCACCTTCCACAGGGGCTCCTTCCAGCCTGAGATTCAGTGGGGCCCAGACTGGAAGAGTAATGCTGTGAAGGGAATCTAGGACAGGCTGGACTGGGCAAGGCCAGCTATGAGAAGACCAGTGCCCCGGACACTCAGAGTTCAGAGGCAGGTCACACAGTATGGCTAAGTTCCAAGGGGAGCTGCACAGAAGCTCAGGAGAAAGTAGAGCAGCCCAGGGCCCTTCCCTCAATGCAGGAGCTCCTTCTTGAAGGATTTCCTCTTGAAGGATGAAGGGTTAACACGGTGGTCATTCCTAGGCTGCCCATACTCATGACAGACACTAGATGGCGCCTTCATGCAGCTGCAGAGGAGGGCAACAGCAGAGCCTAAAGGGACAATGGACGGTACCAAGGATGGAACCAGGGCTGGCAATGGAATCCCAGTGGGGCTCTCCCTGGGAAGCCCCTGCCTCTGTCTTGGCCCAGGTACCCCCATCCCCCAGGTAGCAGCAGTGGGGCTCCCTTTAATCACCCACAGTTGGGAAGGAGGCACCTGGGGAACAGAATGGGCATCTAAGGGGAAGAGGGAGGTGATGGTAGGCTCTGCAAAAAAGGAACTGAGAGCAGTGGGCTGGTGGGCAGGAATTCTCTCATAGTCAGAGAGAGGCTGGAGCCCGGAGAAGTCTTCTACCAACATGGCTACACAGTCCAGAAGGGCCGAAGAACATGCCATGGTCCTATTACCAAAGGTTCTGACAAGTCATAGGGCCAGGAGGGATCTCTGGGGACACCATGAAGAAAGACAGGTAGGTATCAGTTGGGAGGTGGGAGACTGTTTAGACTTAGGGGCTGGGAGTCCAGCCAAGGCACAAGCTTTGTTCCTATCTGGACCTCTCAATGGAGCATAATTATGAGGATACCATTGAATGTGGGGGACCAGGAAGGAAGGCTTGGTTGAGGAAAACAGGGTTCCAGAAGTAACTGCCCTAAAGGGTCCTGGAACCACAGGACACCCTCTACCCAGCACTGCATGACCCTTTGGTCTGGGCAAGAGCAAAGGGGTGCCCTTTCCCCAACTTGTATGAGAATAGGTGCCACCAAAGGAGTATCAGTGCCAGGCCAGGCTCCCACATCAGGGGACTCACAGGCCCCTGGGCCAACCTCCACCCTATCACACCAGGCTCAGGCCCAGGATGTGGATGGGGACTGCTGAAGGCACAGAGAAGGGGCTGGGACCAGTCACCTACACTGGCCACACAGGCCTATCTCCCAAGAGGGCAGCAGGCCCAGATGGCACAGCAATGCGCGGCCAGGCTGGGACCAGGCTGTGTCTGCACCACAGCCAAGAGGCTCAGCCATTGTACTGCTGCTGGTAGCGCAGGTTGAGCTCCCGCAGCTCCCGCTCCCGCACGCGGCGCGACTTATTGGACCGTGTAGAGCGGCTGGAACGCGTGGACTGGGCAGATTTGGTGCTCTGGCAGCGCGAGGAGGCACGTTTGAGGAGGTTCTGGGAGATGGAACGGTGCAGATTCTTCATGGATGAAGAGGCTGCCATGCTCACTACCCACGGGTGCCTTAGGGCCTGCAGTGCAGTCATACGGGCGCCAGGGTCCACCGTAAGGAGGCGGTCAATGAAGTCCTTAGCCAAGTTTGACACGCTGGGCCAGGGCTAGAGGCCAAGGACAAGCTTTAGAGCAAGAGCACTCAACACTGCCCCCCCATCCCAACGATGACACCATCACGACCCTCAGATGTGCCCAGTGCCCCTCCACTCTCTCCCCCTAGACAGAGGCGCTGCCGGCCCCTCCCATCTGTGCAGCACTCTGGGCCTCCCCTTCCCATTTGGTGCTGGCCCAGGCCTCCAAGCAGAGGCTGCTCTCAGGGTAATATGGAGTCTAACAAGGAGAAGGACCTGTCCTGCTCCCAAGGACCAAACTTCTAAGGTATCCTGGACTCAAAGCCTGGCTCGGGGATGTGGCCCCTGTCAAGACTCCCATAATCTATCCCAGGACCACTGTAACTCAGGGGGATTTAAAGAGAATGACCCAAACCTTCCGACATATCCTGAGCCAGACTTAAGCCCCAATCCCTTGATGCCAGTACCAGGTCACTTAGAGCAATTCCCAGCCATTACAGAGAAAGCTCAGTGTCCCTCCAACTGAGAAAGTGGTGGTGGGCAACCACTGCATTCCCTGCACCAGCCTCAGCCTCCCAGCCATAGGGAGAAAAGGAAACAATTCAAGGCAACAAGATTTCTCCATCTGCTGAGAGGGCAGGCGGCACCCAGGCAGGGACTGGGGGTATGTCTGCATGACCTCTCTAAGCCCTAACAAGGGCTCCTGGCAGCACTATGCACCAGCCTCATTTTAGTACATTCTGTCCTCAGAGAGGAACTGCACAAACCTGTCTCTGCTATATCCACCCAAGGCTGCCAACATCTCAGCCACACACCAAGCATCCGCCTTGTCTCGGGCCCTCAGTCTTTAACTGGCTGAATCCTTAGGTTTTCAAGGTAAAAGGTACTTGGTCAGACTTCTTCTTAGCCCCTAATGCTAAGCAATTATTCCCACAATTTCAATTTTATTGTTCCTATCAGACCATGCTAGACATACAGGAGGCACTCAGTAGATAACAGACTTAGCGAATAAACAACCCAATGATGGCACCTGATGGATACCCTCTCCTGGAGCTGCTTCCAGGACATGGGGCTCAGGCAGGAAGGGCCCAGCTGCCCTGAGCCGCCAAGCCCCTTTGTTGGAGGAGGGCAGACCCAGCACTGTCCTGAGTTCCTGCATCTCCTGGAAGCACTGTGGCATGGTCCCTGATGTTCCCCAAAGGGTGAGCTGTTAGGGCCTTTGGTGAGCCTGCTACAGATGGCTTGGTTGGGATGCCAAGGGCACCATCAATCTTCTTCCCACCAGATGAGGTCTGCCCGTTCTGCCCCATGGTGCCCTTCACCTTGGGACCCCTGCACACACTCTCTTGGGGCTCAGGGATATCTGGGAGGCTGCATTTGGGGCAGCGGCATGCCCATTCACCAGATATGCTTACACACAATTGCTATCTTCAGACTGGCTTCCTTAAGCTCCAACTCTTCCCCTATGCGTTCCCCACCCATGTACTGGGGTTGGGGGAACTCCAAGGAGAACACTCGACCTGAGCCCGAAGAAGGGGTGGGGCTACTTGCAATTGCTATCCTTACCTGCCCTTTGGAAGGCAAATCTCAACTTTTCTGTGCTGAACTGGAAGAGAGTGACAGACTACATTCCCAAGCAGCCACCAATCGGTGGTCCTCCTCACCAATGGGCCAGCTCCCAGTGATTTTTGGGGAGATACTGGCCTCAGGAACATAAATATCCAGGGAGGCCCATAGATACCTTGCTGGCTGAGAGCTGTGAGGGGGTGTAACCTGGTCCACATTTCCCTGCAGGCCTGTGTAGCCTGGGGCTTCAGTACTTTGGCTGACATGCAGGGTGACTGGACTGGACAGTTGCCATAGTAGTTTCTAGTTAACAGTTTAAGAAAGCTCCATAGCTTGCTGCTGCCACCTGAACAACATGAGCCACTGTGACGGGCCAGCCAATCTCACTGATACTCAATGCGGTCCCTCTCACCCATTTAAGAGCTGGAAAGAAGCAGGCATCATGAGGTACTGATGGTCACAGCAAAACCACAGACTGAACAGGCTGGGTCATGGGAATACCCGTTGCTGCTCTGCTTGGCTTTTAGAGTCTCCAAGAGAAGGAGAAATCATTGGGAAACACACTATAGCTCAGCCCACCCTGTTAGTAGGAGAGCTCCAAGGCAGAGCTGGCAGCCCAGGCTAGCCAAACAAGACTGGGACACGGATTGTGCCCCTGTCCCTTGGTCCAGCCAAGACAGAAGATAGGCAACTCCTCTAAAAATGACAGAATCACAGGTGGTGAAGCTGGATCACAAGTCAGGAACCTGAACATGGATGTGGACAGATCAGAGGCATCCCCACTTCACATCCACACCCAACCAAACCAAGGCCCCCTGCAGCTCCAAACCAGTCCAACGGAGTCTTCCACGGGCCTCTCACCAGACCTGCCCTGTGGGCTTAAGCATCTCCATCTCCAGAGTTGCACAGACTTACACTAGGAATCAACTCCTGCTGCTCTTCGAGCGGCCAGCCCGTTAATGCCAAAGCAAGCCAGACTGATCAGCCTCTCCTGCTCCCCCCAGACACTGCCTCTCCAATTACTGTGTACCTGCAGCCATGCACAGAATAACAAAGGACTCATTTGTCTGAGGGCCAGCCCAGCCCTCTATGGTAGGCTCCAGATCTGCCCATCTTTGAAGAGCTGTGAGCAGCTGGGCCAGGGTCCCCCAAGCCAATGTGACTCAAGCCATCCTGCCCTGAGAACCAGGCTGTGCCCACAGCACCAGGCCTAACCCTGGCACACTGAGGAACTTGCAGCAGGACGTCAGGCAGGCCAAACACACGAAGGTGGTCCTCAGCACAGTCCTGACAGCAGGGCAGAAACTTAGGTGGACCTCCAGAACAGCAGCCCCTGGGAGGATACCTAAGGCCTCCAACAAGGCTCAGAAAGGAAAAGAAAGCTCTCTACACTCAGCACTGGCCACACTTCCAGCCAAGTCTAATTCAGTACCTCCTAAGAAAGTGCTCAATGCAGACCAAACCATATGCATCCCCAACATGCTTGAGCCTCTAAAGCCACATGAGTATGTCTGTCAGCCTATAACTGACTGGCCTGGTAGCATTCTAGACATAGAAAAAGAAAAACGGTAGTCATGTCCTTCAGTTTCCACAACTTTGACTGCTGGTTCTGGGTAAAGGACAGAACTCCCACCTCAGTATACCTGGGGTCACAAGATCAGGGAAACACGTGGGCCTCAGGTGCTGACAGAAGGGATAGGCCCCAGGTGCCACCTGGCCAGTCTCCCAGAGGCTTCCACCTGTTTCTGGGCTGACATGGAGCATGGGGCATGGGGCATGGGAAGGAACATTAAAATGTCAGTCTGCCTTGTCTCCAGACATTCAGGAGTGCTGGGGGATCAGAGGACAACTGCAATACCCACAGTGACAGCCTATAACCTCCTTTCCGCATGTCTCTCACGAGCTGTGCAGGTGAAGCGCTGGGACCTGCCCTGAGAGGACAGGAGAGGCGATGAGATGAAGGGCGTCACCTACGCTCTGTTTCTGACCTTCAAGCTGGCTGCCCTTCTCCCTAGTCCGTAGCCCCCATAGTCCTTGTTCCTTGCAATCAGGGAACCTCCTCCTGTAACAGTAGAGAAGCCCATAGAAGATAAAGGAGGGACCTCTCCTGTGAGCACTTCTTTCCCAACTTCACCCTCCACATCCCCCTGCTTCTGCAGGACCAGTTACTCCTCAGCAGTAGAATCCAACTCTCCCTTCAGAGGAAGGCACCAAATCACAAGGGGCTTTCCACACAGCTCAGAGGATGCACTTCCCTCCTCCCTAACCCCTTTACGCTGCTCTAGTTCTGTTACAAGTGTTAGGCAGTGTAACTCCAGGGAGAGGAAATCCCAGGGCAAAATACCTCTAAAACCGAAATCAGTCAAAGGGAGAAGTAAAGTTTAAAACCCATTTATTGCTTACAAATTGCAGTCTGAGGCCATCTCTTTTCTGCTCTAGCAGAAGCAAGACCTGCCCCTAACCTCTCAGGTTCAGATAAGCCCTCAGTTGCCCAGGTAATTACACTTTGATATGGAGATGAATTACATCTCTCCACCCTTGAGGAATGCCTATTTATATGCAGATGCAGTAAGGCCAGGCGAGATATTTTGGAAATATTACAATTTTACCCACAGGTAGGAAAATAGATATGAGTGGGGTGGAAAGAAAACAAGATTGGTAAAGCCCACTAGAAAGGACTCAGAGTTAACCAGTTAAAACTAGAAATCCAGAAAAGACTCAGTTAATGAGTTAATCAGTTAAAGCTCAAAAGGTCAGGAGGAACTTGGCCTTGAATGTTTGAATATTCCCCAGAAAGGAAAAGTTTCTGAGCACAGCCCATGTCTTCATTGTGTCAATTAGATCATGCCATTGTAAGATTTACCCTAAAAGGCCCACCTATAAACAGCATAATGAAGACAGGAAGATTCCATATTAAAGCTAAAATTGCATTTTAAAAAACCAAGAAGTTAAGAAGTAAGATCCTTAACATACTCTTTAGCAAACTGACAATAACTCAGCCCACCTTGGAGGAAGGGCAGGCAGTCTTGATTAATATGCTCTCAGACCAAGAAGCTGCCATCCTGGGAGGGAACCAGAGCAGTACATTTCTTATGTTAAGCTAATTTTGCAGAACTACCTGGCAGACTGATAAGAAGAGACTTAATGTCTCATCAAAGATAAACATCTTGAGACCACGTAAGTCCACACCCCTAGCCCTTTGTCACATATCTGAAAAAAACCTTAAAAGGGAGATTCTCCAATCTTTCTGTGCACACCTCCCTCTGCGGTTGCCCTGGCGTAGACTTTCTCTCCAACCTTTCAGGGTGTACCTCTCTCTGGGGTTGCCCACACTTTCTAAGTGCGTAACCTTTTAACCTTAAACTTTCTCTCTCCAACCTTTCAGCACACCTCTCCTCCCTGAGGTCACCTGCACTTTTTCTCTCTTTAAGTAACTTTAAATAAAACTTTTACTTTGTTTCACTACT